TTATTTATTTTTTATTTATTTATTATAGATATTTATTTATTTATATAGATATTTATTTATTTTCATTTTCTTATTTATTTAATATACAAACAACCTTAATGACAGCACAGTGGATTAGTGGTTAGCAATATTGCCTCACAACAGGCTAACTGGAAGTTGTGGTGCAGAGGCTAGAGAAGGTGGACCTGTGATTGGAAGATTGTTGGTTAAATTCCCAGTACTGACAACATCAAAATGTAAGTAGGATAGGTGATGGACCTACACCTGCCTCCACCCTCATTTACCCCACTCTGGGCTCTTGAGCAAGGCCCTTAACCTCCACCATCTGCTCCACCAGACACCCTAGATAGCAGCTCTGTGATCCACACAGAAGGCTGTGGTAGCTTGGTGATCTGTGGTTGCATCAAGAAGGGCATCCAACATAAAAATAATTGCCAAGTCTTCATACAACATAGTTTGTTGTGGTGACCCCTGAAGAAGGGAGCAGCTGAAAGAAAACCAAAAAACAAACAAACAAAAAAACCAACAACTGTTGCCTCACAACAAGAAGGTCCTAGGTTAAATTTTGGTTTGGACCTGGGATCTTTCTGTGTGGACTTTTCATGTTCTCCTCGTGTTTGCTTTGTTTTTCTCTCGGCGCTTCGGTTGCCTTCCACAGTATAAAAACACGCATGTTAGGCTGCCTTCAGGCCCAGGCCTCTCTTGCAAAAGAGATCTGTGATCTCAGTGGGATTTGCCTGGTTAAATAAAGGTTAATAATTAATGAGAATTTTGGTCCCCGAGACATAGAAACAGTACAATTTGATTACAGCATTTCCTCTAAACCGTATACGTTGTATTAAGATGGGGTTTGGAAAGAGTTGCAGGCAGTATGAGTCATGAAGTTAAATCTTTTCCATGCTCCATTTAACAGGCTGGATTTCAGAGACATGCTTTTGGCAAAAGGGAACAAATTACTCCTATATTTGCTAGTGGAAATAAGGACATTAGGCTTTTAAAGCAAGCACGTCACATTTACAACACCCACAAGTCAGAGGAACATCAGTGTCATGTAGGGTGAACTTATTTAGTGTTTTGATGTCATTCCGGACTACATTTCAGTCTCTGATGACAAAAGTATCAAGTAAATGTTGGAGAAAAAAAAGTTTTTTTTGTTTTTTTTCTCTGTAGTTCTGCTATAGGGAACAATAAATATAAAAGTAATAATTAAATCAATCATACCATCCGTTTTGTAGAGTGTGGAAATAACATGCAATTATTTGAGCTATATATTAACATAATTCATACTTGCTTGATAACAACTGTCTTGCTTTACATGAATGGAAAACAATATATTTTTTTTAAACTGTAAGAACGCCCAAAACAAAAATAGTACAAAAAAAAAAAAAATGCTTATCACTTCTGGAGTAATGACACATTTGTAATTGTAGCCCATCACAATAGAAACATTTAATGGTATTGTTTAATGAACATATACATTCTTCAAGATGATAGAAAAAAAAAACATAAAGACATTAAATAAAAAAGTAAGTGCATCCGTTAAGTTTCTTTATCTCACATATTATATTTTTATGTTTTCAAACATTGTTCTTGAGTCTGTCACCTGCGCCACAATTTCATGATTTTCTACAGACTCGACAGCGACTGATGACGCTCTGTAGGAACGTTCCCTTCACTGTCTCAGGAACTGGTTTGCTGCAGGAATAAACAAAACACAGATGAATACAATGCTAGAAAAAAATATACTGTAGCAATAGTATTGATCAGCAAATGTTTTTAGGAAAGTGGGGATAATGAATAGAACAGAACTGAAAATATCAGACAAGAAGATACTAAAAAGACAAATGTTCAGGATGGTATTCTGTGCTAGGATTCAAACTGTGGGATGGTAACATCCACCAATGAAGACATAGGAAGATTTACCTGAACATGTTGTTGGGGTTGAGCGAGGCCAACCAGTAACTATAGGAATCAGGGTAATAGTTACAGGTCCCTCTGCCATGACACTCAATGAAGGGGATTTGATAAAAATTTTCCATACACGAGCCAGGAGAAATCAGAGGCTGAGAAGAGCCTTCTGCCCCAGCACCTGTTTGCTGAAATAGATAAAGATTTAAGAAAGAAAGGTAGAGGGATTCAGGAGATAAAACGGTTGCTTCCTTACCATGACAAAAGAATATCCAGTCCATAGGGACTTCCAGCTTCGGGGACAATCAGGTATCAGAGTGTTCTGACTGTGAATGGCTATGACTGTGGATGTGGTTTCGCAAACTGAGCACCTAAACCACAAATGTACAAAGATACCCATGTTAAGATTCCTTAAAAATAAAGTTTTTTATCTTTGGTGCAAATCAGATTGAAATGAATGTTTTGCATTTAAATAAACATAGCCCTGATGAATTGTTCTTATGAATATTGTTGCAGAAAATGTGTGCACATACATACAGTATGTTCCTACCTGCTAATGTAGGAGGCCACCTTGTTAGCTGTGATGGAATTCATGTTGGCAGGCATCGGCTCATCAGTTGACAGCCAGTATGAGTAGTCATTACGAGAAGCATAGCGGCAGGTACGTTCCGTGTCACAGAACAGAAAAGGCATGGTGGAAAAACGAGGGAGACAGCTTCCTGTGGTGCCTGAGAGACAGTGTAAAAGGTTAAAAAAATTGTATTATGACCAAAGCAAATAAGTAATGGATAATATATATGTATGTTAGTATCGGCTTTCGTACCAAGGTCCTGACCATGAGCTCTCTCATTTCCGTTGATGAAGAGGAAGGAGTAGCCGGAATAGATAAAACTGGTGCCATTGGGACAGTCAGGGACCCGAATGCTCTGACTGTGCCTAGCTATCAGGAAACTGTCAATGTAACCTGCAGCACCTTTGCCAGGCAAACCTCTCTGACCTTTACGGCCTGGGTTTCCAAGTCTGCCTTCGAGACCTGGAGAGTACAATGAAGTGCCGCTTTTGTCAAGGATACTCATGTTTGAGAGAGAATAGAACCTTTTTTCCTGTTTCTACTTAAAAAAGATTGGTCACATTGTTGTATACCTGACTGTCATAAAATTGTATGGTAATCAAATAGTAAATAGTAACACACCTTGCAGTCCTGCTTTTCCTTTGGCTCCCTTGTGGCCAGTAAATCCAGGAGGGCCAAGTAGACTTGTTCCAGGTATTCCAATAAAACCAGGTTGTCCTGGGGTCAAAATATTAAGACTCTCACATGGAGCTTACATACATTTTGATACATAAATACATTCTGGCACACAAAATAGAAGCATAATTACAATGGAACTGTATAAAATGTAAGATGAACCTAATCAATTGCTTTGAAGATTATGTATAGCATAAATTTCAGTGCTTTTGTATTGGATGAACTAAGATGTAAACATTAACCTTGAGGTCCTCGTGGTCCTGGTAGTCCGGTAATCCCTGGCAATCCTTGGATTCCTGGGGGACCAGGTGAGCCAGGATGTCCTGGCTCATACACTGCTCTGATAAATGCTGTTTCACCTTTAAGGCCTGTAGATACACAACAATACAGAACTCAAAATGTTGTTTCTGAAAAAGTCCAATATTTTTTACACTGTTCTAATTTTTTAGAAATATACAATTTATAAATTCCCTTTTTTACAGCAAGAATGGTCAAGTAGGATAAATATTTAATGTTTTTACTAAAACAAACATTTGCCACACCTGGGGGTCCAGGAAAACCTTTGGATCCAGTGAGACCAGGTAAACCTGCAATGTATCCAGGGTCTCCCACGTCACCTAAACATAGGAGATATAAATACTTCTAACAAACTTTAAAACTTTTCTTTGCATCGTTTTACAAAAAATCTGCTCTACTAGGTATTACAGATGAAAAGTCAAATGAAGTATCATAAATCTTGCTTTTTTAAGTCTTCTTTATTCTCCCTTTTATGTATTTCTCTGTTGTGGGAACATTAATCAGCTGTGGGCTATTCTTCTTTAGTGATAGATCACACTTTATCTGCAGTTGAAAGTTGATAGATTACCTAGGGGCCCTTGTTTTCCAGAGGGGCCTGGATCTCCTCTCATTCCTGGACCTCCAGGTAAGCCTATTGGACCCTAGAGATACAAATACAACAATAAGAAGTGAAAGATCAGGCTTGAATCGTTGTTTTGAGAGTTTCATTTAGAAATGCATTCATACCCAATAGGAACATCATTTCTACAAGTAAAAAGGTATTTCTTCAATTAAACAAAATGACATAAACTATTTGTTGCACAACATTTTTATACAGCATGGCTTACATATGCCCATATTACATTTGTTTAAAAATTGTGTGTGTGTGTGTGTGTGTGTGCTTTAAGAAGTATTTAACACATATATTCACAACATCTTGTTTTAACTATCTGTTCTGTGACAAAGCAAATGTTGCAATCACTTACAGGTGGTCCTTGGGGGCCTGGATCTCCCGGGGGTCCACAAAAACCTGAGATTCCTGAATGACCTGGGTCTCCTCTATCTCCTTTGAGCCCTAGCTCTGTTGAACCTGGAGGGCCAGGAGGGCCAGGGTAGCCTATATTGTGTTGGGATATAGATTGACAATACAACTAAAATATGTTTGTCACAAGAAAGAATAATCACATAATTTTCACAACAAATGGTCTACTTGATAAGTTTATGTGCAAATTGTATATAATATCTTGAGTTGCTTTAGAAAGTGTATGGTCTAGTACAAATGTAATTAATTAGTTAAACTAAAATAACAATATGGCTATAACATATGCAATAAATTAATTGATAAAATAATGCAATGCAAAAAATTAATGACATCTTGTGTCATAAGCTCTCAGAAATTGGTTTTTCCAGATCATACCATTGGTTGGTTCTCTAACTATCTCAGATCGGATGCAATGTGTTCAACATAATGGTATTTCCTCAGGTTGTTTAACAGTCAAAAATGGTGTACCACAAGGCTCAGTCTTAGGACCCACCCTCTTTAAATCTATATAGGTAATGTAGGTCAGAGCATTCCTAATGCACCCTTACATTCTATGCTGATTACACAGTTGTTTATCCATCCATCCATCCATCCATCCATCCATTATCTTTACCCGTTTATTCCATTTTGGGTCACGGGGGTCGCTGGTGCCCATATCCAGCAATCACTGTGCGAGGGGCGGGGTACACCCTGGACGGGTCGCAAGTCCATCACAGGGCCACATAGAGACAAACGAGACAAACAATCATTCGCTCCCTCACTCACACCTAGGGACAATTTAGAGTTACCAATCAGCCTAACATGCATGTTTTTGGTCTGTGGGAGGAAACCGGAGTACCCGGAGAAAACCCACGCATGCACGGAGAGAACATGCAAACTCCACCCAGAGGGCCCCTGGACCGGGGTTTGAACCAGGGACCTGCTCGCTGAGAGGCAGCAGCTCTACCAGTTGTGCCACCGTGCTGCCCACAGTTGTTTATTGTTGAGCTAAAACAATTGCTAAGGCTTTCCAGTTTTTGCAATCTGCCTTTGACATCATCCAGTCAGATTGTTCCTTCTCAAACTTGTCCTAAATGCTGACAAAACCAAAGGGATGCTTTTTTTTTTCAAACAGGAAGTCGGTCCCAGCAGTTCTTCCTCTGATTTTATCCTCAAATGGTGATCCTAGTGAGTTTGTCAATTCATATAAATATCTGTGTATCTTGGTAGACTCACATCTCTCTTTTAAGCCTCGTGTGGAAAACCTTGTTAGCAAACTGAAAGTTAAATTGGATTTCTTTTTCTGAAATAGATCCTGTCAAACCCGGAATGCTAGAAAACGCCTTGTATCTGTGACTTTCCTTCCGTCCATTGATTACGGTGACATTATGTACACGAACGCTCCTACAAGCACCCTGCAGATGTTGGATGCTGCCTATCATGGTGCGCTAAGATTCATAACTGGCTGTAACTACCATTCCCACCACTGCACCCTGTATTCACTGGTTAACTGGACATCATTAACTTCACACAGACTCTCTCATTGATATATTTTCATCTTTAAATCACTTCTTGGTTTGCTGCCTTCATACATCTCCTCCTAGATGTCTCTGGGACATTATTACATGCAGTGTCCCCTCAGTGCTGACTGGACTGGTCAAAAAGGGACTTCTCCTACTCCGCTCCTGTTTCCTGGAATATCTTGCAAAAAGACCTGAAGCTCCCGACCTTGACCTCTCTAAGTGGCTTTAAACATCTGTTAATTTCCTGGCAAGAACCAATGCAGACATATTCATGTTTTTATTTTTCTACACAGTCTTATAATCTAGCTGTTTTTTTTTGTTTTTTTTTTTTGTTACTTTTTCCTTTTGACTGTCCTTTTGGCTGCCATTTTATTTTAATTTGTAAAAAAAAAAAAAAAAAAAAAATTGTTGTCTCTTTTATGACTGTCTATTGTTGTCGTTATGCACTGTTGTCATCATTCTTTGTTAAATAAATCAGGTCTCTCTTTTAAATGAGTCCTTGAGGCTCAATGGGATTAACCTGTATAAATAAATGTTGAATGAATGAATGAAAATTAATTAAGTAAAAATATAAATAGATAAATAAATAAATAAAAGGTGTATACTCTTTCTTAAAAAAAAGGTGTCCTTATATGTGTAACGTGTTCATTTAAGTCCTGAGATTGTGGAATAATATGTTAGAGTTTCGCAGAAAAATGTGCATAAAATAATCTTGTCCTCCATCTGAACTTCCTCACCTTTGGTCCCAGAATTGCCGGGGAGTCCACGATCTCCTTTGGGTCCAGGAACACAACTCCCTTCTCTTCCTAGCTGTCCTTTTAGACCTGGGATGCCTGGTGGACCTGGAAGTCCTCTGTTTCCTGTTGGTCCATGACTTCCTGTTACAGCCAAGCCATTGGAACCAGCATCCCCAGGAGGACCTGCATTACGATAAGGACGTTAGTTTACATAACTAGTAGCAAAACTATTCCTGATTGTAGAATTATCGGTACTTCTTTCAGTGTGATGGATTTTTGCTTCAACATGACACACTTGATAACATTTCAAACGTTGCCCTGTCATGTCTCACTTGCTATTATTGAGTAAAAAAAAAAAAAAAAAAAAAAAAAAAAAAAAAAAAATATATATTAAAATATAAATAAATATATAATAATATATATATAAATATATATTTAATAATTTGTTTTTTGTTTTAAAAAATTGAA